AATTAATTAATTAATTCAATATGCAGCTTCTATAGTTTTTATAGTTTGTCAATAAAGTTTTCAATAGTTATGCCATCAATAAGTTAAATATTACAATCTCCAGGAACGACTAGCTGGGTTGTTCATCGAGCTTGGTGCTGATGATGAAGAAGAAGCTCTTCCATTCCACCTACTCTACCAGCATCCCATCATGCAGGATTGCTTGCAAACCTGCATGTTATTCAAATCCGCGGTAAGTTTGCTTGATTGTTGTCACTTAATCAGAGCTAAGAGACAGACTATTAGATAATTGAGGGAATGGTTGCGCAAAGCCCCCAAAACTGATTATCGAGCAAGCACTTCACCTACGAAAATAAATATCGCGCAACCTCTCCTTTCAGTAAAGAAATATCGAGCACACACACAAAAAAAACTGCGAACAGGGATTGTTACGAAAAGATAAATATCGTGGAACATGAATTTCTGCACCCCCACCCCTCCCCCCTCAATTATCTAAGAGCCCATCCCTAAAGAAAGATCATCATAACCACAGAGCTCGTAGAAGTCAACGGTTTGATCTTTAGGGTCTCTACGTCTGTTTCGACTTCTGTCAGTGTTCAGTTTAGCTTTAGTTTTTGTGCATGAGTTTCTGGCTCGGAACTGTAAACTCTTTACGTTTCGGGGTCGTCATTACAATATTATCAAGCTACTAACACAAACATTCCCTGCTAGTGAAGCCTATTTTCTTTAGTATTTATTTGTCTCAAGAAGGAAGAGAAAGAGGAGAGCTTTTGCTCTCGGGGAAGCTAGGACCATAAGGAAACAAAGGCTAAGATATAAAAAATATTATTCCAACCAGAGAAAATTATTTTTCCTCTGCTGCTCTAATGTTTGCTATCATTAATGCTCTCTTTATTTATAGGACCTAAGGAGTGCTTTCAAAGGGAACGGTAGCAGCAGCGATACTTTTGAGTAACTCTACCTACCACGTGGGTATTTTGAAGTAATGTTTGATACAAATGTCAGTATGAGTTCGATATTTGTATTTTCATTTTGTGCACAATTTTGAATGTAAATAAAAAGGCTTTAAGAATCTGTGGTAACGCCATTTTATGAATACTTGTAATACTGATTGAGTAGATTTATTCCGGAGTAAATACACGTAGGGCATATGCGTAGGGCTTAGAAGGAAAGATTTTTAACTCGTAGATACGCGAAGCGTAGAAACGAGTTATTATAAGGGGTCTGAAAAATCACTCACAAAGACGCTAGCGGATCGATATTTAAACGATTCCCAATGGTCTTACGTCATCAGCTTACGAACATTACGCGAAACATATTTTTGGACTTCATACAAACACGTACAAACTTCTTATCCAATAAAGGTTGACAAGATATTTTTATGAGAAGCTGGATTCCATTTTTAAATGTGGGATGATGTCTAGCACCAGGCCAGGCTAGCACTGAGCATGCTCACACTCACACATAGCTTTACCTTCGGATAATCAAAAGAATCAAGGAAAGATCGATGCATGTTGCATCAGATTAAAAAAATAAAATTAGGCTCCTAAACTAGAGAAGAATACTATAAATGAACATAAGAGGCAAAAAGGTATGTTTAAATTTCTTTCATGAGAACGAACGCAGGAAAAAAAATCTTTTACGGCATTCAAGATCATTCTTCCGATTTACGTAGAATATATGGGTACTCCCATATATGGACTATACGGGGATGAGCTTCTTGTCATGAACAGGGTATGCAATTTCACTCAAGTTCCAAGTTCGAATTCCGGCTTATAGTCCAACGCACGTGCTATGTATCATCTTTCTTACACTCGCCTCCTGTGGATCGTCAAGTGAAGAGCAGCCATAATGCAGTGTTGTGATCTTCAAGGTATTCTAAATCTTCAATCTTATCCTCTAAACAATCCTAACTCTACTCATTACAAAGATCTCATCCAGAGACTGCGAGCCGAGCTACAAGCTAATGGCATCGTCCTGTTGCCGAATTTTATGACTAAGACGGGAATAGATTCCACTCTACGAAGTCTGCAAGACAAGAAAATCGAGCCTTATCGAAAGGAGGTCACTCATAATGTTTACTTAGAGGACCACGTTCGCAAGAACGAAGAGGAATTTCCAAATCAAAATCACCCGAAAAGATTCCACGTTCGTAGCTGTAAAACATGCTACACTAACGATCAAATTGATTCCAAGTCTCCGATAAATGTTCTCTTCTACGCCGACGAGATGACGGACTTCATTCGTGACGTTCTCGGTAAAGAGAAACTTTATCGTACTGCTGATCCTCTAGGAGCTTTGAATGTACATATGTACAAGGAAGGAGACGAACTAGGCTGGCATTTCGACCGGGGAGAGTTTGCTGTTACTTTACTTCTTCAAGCTCCTGAATCTGGTGGCAAGTTTGAGTTCTATCCTGATTTAAGGTTAGTATCAAATAACCTGCCACTTGGTTAGTGCGTATGATGCAGGGGCGTAGCCAGGATTTTCCAAAAGAAGGTGGGGGGGGGGGGGTAAATTCAAAAGTCCGCCATTTTGTTTGGGCCATTTTTTTCCACGAAGTGGGGAGGGGGGCATGGTCCCCTTGGCCCCCCTGTCTACGCCTTTATGATGTTTGCTATGTTGTCTGGTTAGGCCGTTTTAGGCAAATTTTAGTAACGATTTTTGGGGGTAAGTTTATTGTCTTGTATGATTGAATAATAAGAAAAATAGCGCCCTTTGGCTCCTAAAATTTTTTCAAGACCTGGAGTGGAATAAATCTGTCTAATCACCTGTGTATTTATACTAAACCTTTATAACAGAAGCGAGCAGAATTCAAACTACCCGAAGGTTCAAGAAATTCTTCTTGCTGCGAGAGAGGGTCAGGATGTCAGTAAACATGGCGTCCAAGTGGCTGATCAGTTGGAAGCTGGTACATTATCGATATTCTGCGGACACAACTCTTTGCACCGAGTGACAAAGATCGTTGGTCAAAAACCAAGATATCTAGCGGTTCTCTCGTACGAAAACGAACCAAATGTTCATCTGAATGAGTACACGAAAATGAAGTTTTTTGGACGTATTCAATGAGAAAGCTGTTCTCAGCTATTCAAATTTCAACTATGAACACAATCACAACCTGCAGCTATAATTACAATCAAGCGTAAAAACTGAATATTTCGTGATTCTTAGGGTCTCTTTTTGCACTCATTTTGCCTCCTAACTCAGACCACAGGCAGCCCAATCTCTTGTTCTGTGGTGTTGTGGCCCATGCGAATATTAACGGTAATATTTCATAGCATGTAAAATTAGTACTTTAAGGAATAAAAATGAATTACCTTGATACCTTAAGTTGATGTCTGGCAGATTTTGAAGCCAGTTTCGGTGCGTTTTTACGGAGTCAGGGTAAGAAATATGATCTTAACCCTTCGCAAACAAAAAACAAAAAACAAAACAAAAAAAAAAAAAAAAAAAACAAAAAAAAAAAA